GTAGAGACGCCGGACCCGACGAGAGAGAAGAAAGAAGAGAGAGAGAGAGAGAGAGAGGGATAGGAAAGAGAGAAGAGAGAAAAAGAAAGAAGGAGAACGGGCTTCCCATTACCTCTCGAAAGGAGAGCTCGCGGTGAAATATGAGCGGCCGGTTTCGATAGTTTTCTTCTCTTTGCGTTGGCGGCCAACGCGGGGGATCCACCGTGTGTCTCGCGTGTGAAGCCGCTGGTCCCGAATTCCGCGCAACGATTGGACGGGACGATTCGTGGCGAATGTTCGTCAATCGCTTCTCCATGGGGCTCCAATGAAAAATCACGCGTGAGAGAGTCACGGAGCAATTTAAATGGGCTTTCTTGTTAATGAACGGAGATTCCGGGACATCGAAAACATCCGGGACTTTTGTAAATTTCTTATCTAATAGGTAGTTTTGAACGTGAAGTTATGTTGAGTAATGAGGACTTTAACGCATGGATAATCCGAGTTCCCTACAATTAAGAGAAAATGTAAACTTTCTGTTGTTCGAAATTATTGAAATATTTCTTTTTTTCTATAAGTTATTATGATATAAAGATTATGATATACATCGAAGTTATACTTTTTTCTCGAATTATACATATTGCAGTTTTAAGACAGATTCAACTTCGATATTTAGGCTTCATTGCTTTTAATTGTCCCAGAATGAATGAATAATTGGAGTATTGAATGTATTTTGTCATTCAAGTATTGATTTATGTACTATTCAAAAACTTCAAAAACGTGACGAGTCATTCAAGTAAAAACGCTCAAAGTTGAAAGAACAATTCCTATTTCTCAAAACGTGATTATTTTCATTTATCACAATATTTCGTAATATTAATCGTGAGAAATGCAGTTTAATGGGATTACGGATAGCATATCTATGAAATGCAGGACGAACGTGTGGAATGTTTCAGCGTACGTGAAGATAAGACAAGAAGCGACAGTTCGGCAACGGGGGTGATTTGCCTTACCCCTCTTGTGTGTCCCTCTTGTTTACGAACGGTGTGCGTAGAGAACGCGTAGAATAGCCACGTGATCGTTAACAAAGAGATACAAAGAGAGTAACGATTGCAGCATTTTATCGCGTAGATCAAAATTTCGAAATATTTTATACATTTTTTAATAACTAATTTAATAATATACTAATATACTAATTGATAACAAATTAAACAATTTAACTAATTTAATTAATATATTTAATTATATTTAATTTAATATATTAAATTAATATACTAATTAATAGAAAGAAAGCGATAAATTGAAAATTATTAAAGAAGTTAATTAACGTGATTGTTTCATCGAAATAACTCGATATTTTATTTTCTTCACGTTTATTTTCTTCAACATTTATTATTAACACATGTTATTCGACCAACTCGACGCATTTAACAATAGAAGATCATTCTGTTAGTCACATTTTATTTTCATATATAATTTATACTGAATAGTATTCCGAGAAAATCGCAAAACATATATCGCATTCATACTTATTCAAATCTACAGTTCCAACACATAAATGCAACGCTTGCAGTTTTGTATCTTCTAAGAAATGTGATGATTCTCCCACGATAAAGCGTCACTGAACTTGCACATTTGCAGATAACCTGTATATTTATATGAACTTTACAAACATTAGTCAATAATTACAAAACCATTTATAGTAAAATAATTATCTAACAAATTTTATTATAAAAATCTCGATGAACAATCTTGCAATAAACACATTCTGCCTATTTTGAATGTGTCATAGATCTAATTTTTTAAAGTTATGAATTTCGAGAAAGTAATACTTTAAATTTTATATAAAAAATTTATAAATATATATGTATGTATATAACGTTTCAAAATAGATAAATATTTTGTATACAAAAGTATATTTGTTATATGTAAAAATAATTAAAATTTTATATATTGACTTAAGTATTAATATTTTTAATAATTAATTACAAAATAAAAAATGATTTTTTTTATAGAATGAATTTTTTTAGTTAAAAAAACATTAATTTTTTGTTTTACATAAAAATTATTTCTGTAGAAGAAATTTAATTTTAAATAGCAAAAATTATTCATGTTATTCTCTATGAAAAAATTATTCTCTATGAAATAAATGTTTTTAAATGACTTATGTTTGGAATTCTGCTGTTCATTGAAGCGATACTGAATTTGCATATTCTTCTAGTACTCTCACGCACAACTTTTCGTTCTAGAAATAGAAGTGAATGAGAACGTTAAGGAAGTGTTTGTTATGTGAAAGACTTGAGTACATAGTAGTGTCAATCCCGCGGATAATCTGAAAGTAGCGACGCCTTGTTTGCTCGTTTCAGTAGTCTAGCGTGACAAACAAGAGCCAAAAATATCGTCATTCAAGATTCGTGTATTTTCAGCATCTTTAATTGAATAGGACCGACGTGGTACTCGTAAATTATTCGAATTCCTAATTAGATCATCACCGCGTTTCTCTGCGGAGAAATGTTTCCCACAAAAAACGATGTTCTTTGTTGACTATTTTATCGAATATCGATCATTCAAGTTCAAATAACATTCCATTGCTTATCGACAAAATAATTTCGTTTTCTGAAATATTTTTCCATCCAATTAACAACTATTAGTTCATATAAACGCGATTTGTTTGTCAATTCTTCGTTATGAAAAGGATATACTTATGATTATATCTTAAAGTGATGAACAATTTTTAATTTAAAAAATATAAGAAAATTTTCGATGTACAAAAATGCATAAGTTCGTAGTTTAAATTTCACAGATTTATTTAAAAGTAGTTATTTTATATTTGTAATCATTTTTTTATTACCAAATTTAATTAAATCATATATTATAATTATTATAATTTTATATTGTAGCAAGTTGTAGTGTATGAAAAATAGTCTTACGTATTTTTTTTTATCTTTATTCTCGCCACGAAATTGTAGCGCGGATCTCCGAATTGAGATAAGATATTTGATAACTTGCATTTAGAGTGATTGACCTCCTTTGTGCATTCTATGATTAATGGGAACTCGATCGAAAATCACTTTGTAACATAAGATTTGAGAATTTTTAAGCGGATCGGTGTAGCATCGCTGAAATTTAAAGTAATTTCGAATTTAAAGTAATTTCGAATTTAAGATTTTCGCACGCACTCAGTCATGCATGAATTAAGGCGCACAGCATATTTTGCGCTCATGTCTAGCCGTTCATTCATTTAAATCGCGAATCTACGTGCGCGTTGGCGCTTGACTTTGCAAACAATGGGCTGTAAATGCGGCTTTAATTATGTTGCAATTGAGGCGATACGTGATTTACGCACTTATTACGTAGCTACGTACGTACTACGTAGTGCGTACATAAATACGTGACACGTGTAACTTTATGGAAGCCGCAGGGCAACTCGTGTGACCTAAAATTTCGTTGACCCTATCGCCGAGAGAGACTTAATAACCTAAACATCAAACGACTGATTGAGGCGTTTTTTTAATTATCAATTAATAATACATTTTTTCCTAGAAATGTGCAAAATTTAAGAAACAAAATATAATTTTTTAAATAATAATTAAACGTTAATTAAATACTAATTGTAAATTGTAAAATTTTTTTATAAATTTTTTCATTCAACCTCTTTTGTTATTTGTCTTTTAATTGCGCTTTTATACTTTTTTCGATTTTCTAATGTTTTACATCTCAAAATATATTGAGAAAGATGATCATTATTACTTTCAAAATAATCCTGATACATTGTTATACATAAATCAGAATGTTGTCTGCTTTTGTATCTTCTTTTTCAACTTCGGATTTATTTATAGACGGAAATTCAGCTGAGTCCGCATATATTGAACATTGATCGTACCCTGCGAGCAATACGATAAGAAGATTGAGTAATTCGATATTCCGACGTTCGAAAGTTCTTACGTTATCTAATTTGCTAGCGGAAGTCGTGTTTTTCTAAAACGAACATTGCGCGATCTTACGTTTCGAAGCCGAGTCAATATGTCAACTCACACATTTCGGCTTAGATATTAAGTTAAGATTTAGTTTTAGTTAAATCTCTTTTTGTACTCCATTGGGTATCCTCTTCCGTACGGCTGCTTATCTAGCACGAAGACTTCTCGAGTTATCAGTTTTCCCGCAGAGCGTTTCTGACCGCTTATCTGCTACGTCAACTTTCTCATCCTTTTTATGTAACCCTGGATCTACAATGTGGGAAGAATCGTGTCTTCTCCTGTGGCTCGCAGTGGCCAGACAACAGAAAAGATTCTGCAGACAATAAAACGAAGACCTCTTGGAAAGGGGAAAAAATATGTCTATTGTTCCCTTCAAACGCTAAAAGTGTACAGAGAATATTGCTTGCGAAGATTTTCACTAATATCCAGTACTTTGTAGCATAAATGAAGTTTTGGTACAGATAATAGATCAAAAGTTATGTGAAAAATATCGCAGTGATAAATATAATGTGACTTTATGTCATAAGATAGAAATTCTTTGCGATGATAAAATGTAAAATTCATCAATTATTGCGTGTGTTTGTTATTTTAGAAACTTACAAGAAGGCTAGAATTATTCTCTAAATTACATAATTATCATCTAAGTTATTTATTTTGATATGTACTGTATTGAAAGAACAGTATAATGATATAGTATAATAATAATAACTTATAATAACTTCCATAATTTTTGTTCTATGTGTTTCAAACATGCATAGAATATACAGGTATTTATAAATTCCTTATATTACATTACAAATGAAAATTAATTGTTGACGCATCTTTACGCTTGTTAATAAAACTAAATACAAAATAAAAAATAATTAAACATGTACATCTCTCCATCCTCTCGAAACTCGTGTTAAAAAAAAAAAAAAAGAAAACAACATTGTTAAACTGTACTTCGCCGACTTCACTGTTCTCTTTCTCAGTGTTCAACGAAACCGTAGAAACATCTGCCTCTTCCAGGAAGGTGGTCTCGAGATAATGCGGCATGGAAACGCGCTCTGTACATACAAAGTTGCTGGTCGCCTCAAGAGCGAAGACATATTTTTCTTCAGTTCTATAAATTGCGTCTATTTTCCTTTTTTTCCTTTCGTTTTTCTCGACTTCAACAGTCTCGATTATCATCCGAAATTTTTCCACAATAGTTTCTTGAAAGTTGCATTTGCAGATATATTCTGCTTTTCCTTTTCCAGTTTTGTCAAATGTATCTCGAAAAAAATTTCTCATAAACGAGTGATGTAGGGTTTCTTCTCTCGTTCGTTTATTCGTTCGTTCACTCGCTCCTTCCTTCCTTCCGTTCGGCTTTTCTAGTTAAAATTTCTTATCGTAAGAGGAAGTTGATAGAGGGATTTAATCAAAGCCGCGAGAGTACATCCGTCTGCGCGAAATGGTTTTTTCCAAAACTACCGCGAGTGGGTCACTCGATATCTGTATTAACACAGCAAAAATATTTTATTAAGATGCTCAATATAGTCAACTGAAAGTTTGGGATTTTCTCATAATACTAAACGAACATATTTTGTGATATTAAATCAATGATGTCGTGTTATCTGTACTCTGTTGATTTTTCCCACACTAGCATCCAGCCATGTGCCACTAAGAAACTACGAATAACTGATAACAGCGTATAGTTTATTATTTCCTCTGGATGAAAGCCGGCGCCTTTTTTCGGCATCCGGCTATTTAAACCATTTGAATTATGCCACACGGATCTCCCCTATCGCACATATAAAGCGTAACTTCGTATCTCTTTGTGCGGTCCAATATCTCCGACTTCCTCTTTCTTTCGATCCGTCGTCAATTTTCCGCGTCCGGAAGTTACAAAATTCATGCATCCACGTCAAACGTGAGACATACCATTCAATCAATAATTTACATAGTTTCATAACCGAAAGATTTATTCTGAACATAGACAAAAAATAGTCCATTCAAATATCACAAAAAATAGTCGTGATGAAAAGCAATCGCTTGTTAATTTTTATCAACTGTGTAACCGACCTATATATTTGTAAAAGAATATTTTTAATATTTTTAAAGGAAATAAATAGTCCAGTGATTATATCTGATGCAAACAACATATTCTTCGCGCAGCCAATTACTATTACGCTGGACCCGAACGAAGAAAAAGACAAAGGGCAAAGATCCCGTGTGAGGTTTAGAACCTCCCTTGCGTTCACAAGAAAGTTGTTCTGGAAAACCGACGATGAGGCCGGCATAGCGGGCTATTATATGAGCGCAGGTGTCGATGCAGATGTCGCGTAGCAGACGGCCC